GGCTAAAACAAATGATTATGTTGGTATTCTAGAGAGCCAGGATTTTTGACATGAAGAAAGGAAACACAGACATCTGATGGATGGGATCAAGTGAAAACCCACAGGCCTAAGCCTGAATCAGAAGTTTCAGTATAAATTCGTGATGTACTTCATGTTTAAAGATACGTATTTTTTTGACCCTTGTGGACTAATAAGGCTCGGAAATGATGCCCAACTCGGTAGCGGTAAGAACCATTAATGTTCTGATTGTGGTTTCTAAATACTGTTTTCCACTAAAGGTAAGCACGGCTCCTTGGAAGGATGGCAGATTCCAGGCCTAGCACAGCGATGTGCAAAGCATGTGGGGCTTTGATTCAGTCTGTCCGAACAGCTCATAACACCTCAGAGACCTCTGGGGTCAGGTCAACAGGACTCTGACCAGCTTGAAGAGGCTTCCACTGATCAAAGATACAATACTTTGAGCATGAATTATAATGGTAATGGATTGGAACACATCAAATGTGCTTTTATCCACTTATTTATAGTGATATATGTAGTTTTAAATCTCCTTTGTTACCTTGGAAGGTGTTAGAGAATCAATTCATTATTTTGAAAACAAATAATAGGAAAGAAACAAGCGTTTATCTGGAGTTTCCGATATGAACTGTCCTTCAGGGGAACAGATAGTGAGGAATTTCCTATATGGAAGAAATCCAGAGAGAAAATGAAGAAGGGATGAGAGAATTCAGACATCCCATTCTGCAGCCCTTAATGAACGAATGGAGATATGCACCGACCATCAGTAGCTGCTAACACCACAGAAGCAGGCAACTGGACGCTCTGTGCCTCCCGATGGGGGTCACACCACTACCTAGACAGCAGTTGTCAAAAAACTGACACAGACTCTGAGCCTCTAGATCTAAGCACCCACACACAGGAAGCAGGGAGGACGGGAGCACGAGGAAGGACAGCACTGGAGTGCAATCCACAAAACCTAGGGAAACAAAAAGGAGATGGGGGGGTAGCGCGAAGGGACAGATTAGAAACCACTGGAGAATCCCACCCACCAAGCACAGTGCAAGGACCTCACTTGGATCCTGATTCAAACAAACTGCAAGCACATAAACAATTATAAGACCATTAGGGAAATGTGACTAATGACTGGATACTTGATGAAATTAAGGGATTACTGTTAGTATTATTTAGATGTGATCATGACATTATCAACATTTTTAAAAAAGAACTATCTTTTAGAGACTTTAGAAATATTTACAGATGAAGTGATATGATTTCTGGGAGATGATTCGAAATAATCTAGAGGAGAGGAGTAGGTGGAGGTATAGAT